TCTCTCTCTCTGTGTGTGTGTGTGTCTGTGCTCCTTGAGCAAAATGTGACTTGGCGTGCAACTTAAGACATCTTGAATCCCGATTCCTCTGTGTCCCCTGACTCCCCTCTGCTTTCCTTTGCTCATCCCGATTCCCCTGACTCCCCTCTGCTTTCCTTTGCTCATCCTCCCAGCCGTGCCACGCGCAGCTGCCTGCGAGGCTGCGAGCGCGCGCGCATCCACGCCCCCAAGCTCTCACGCACACATGCTCTTTCACATGCCACTGCTCACAGGCAGTTACTCTTGGTGATTGTCTGATATTGATTGCTGTCTTCCTCGGCCCACTTCCTCTGCCCACTTCCTCTGCCGAATCTTCCCCGAAGTTGATCTCTGCTGATCAGCATTCAGGCGTAGGCGTGACTTGTGATTCCATGTCTGAGAGCAAATGCCCATAGACACTGACAGACGTAATATGTTTTTTTTTCATTTTCAACTTATTTAAAGGGGGTTGCAAGTCGGGTAGTTTCATATGTAGTCCCGCTCTGTTCACCGGATCCTGCACTACGTATCTCCGCTACAATAGAGCTCTCTCCATTCTATTTTCATCACGGATCAGAATTCTGAGTTTCTTTTGATTATTATTTAATTATTATGATTATTTCACATCCTTGTTGCAGGTCACCATTCCTAAGAGCATGATAAAAGAGCGCATCCTCTCGGAATAGAGAGCCTTTTTTTTATAGAGTCTGCCATGACAGAATCGGATAGCTCTGCTCTATTTGCGCAAAATCAGACTATGGCCGTACGAACATTACCACTACTACTACCTGACCGCATTTACGGCCGCACCTGGATGCATGTGGCCGCATTTCCGTCCCGAAGTAAGGCAAAAAGGCCTGGTGTGAGTATGCCCTAAGTCTTCTCGATTCTCCGCGATCCGAACCCCGGAGCCCAAGTCCCACTGACACGGATTCTTCATTCCCGGCCGTTGATCTTCGCGATCCACGGTCAGAAATGAACAGTCCCGGTAAATGGGACTCGATACACGGTCCACTGTCCCATCGTAATTCAGTCAGTCCCCATGTGGCTTCTCTTTTTTCTTTTTTCTTTTTTCTTTTAACATCCAGTACGGGGGCACCTATATCTTCTTCTTCTTCTTTCTTTTTTTTTTTTTTTTTCCGAAGTGCCGTCCTCTCTTGATGGGTCCGATCGAATCGTAAGGAGCGGCACGTGCGGGGGACAGGGCCCAGTGTCACTTTACCCTGCTTATCAGTATCAGAGCATACTCAGACTTGGACTTTTTCCTTTTCTGTATATGGACGTAATTGCAGTCAGATTGCATCGGCGATCAGGGGTGGGGCAGGGGGTTGTTAGGGAGAAGTAGGGTGAGGGATAGGGGATCGCAGAAAAGGGGGAATGTTGAAAATTTAATGTCAACGGGGTTTATATGAAGGGCACACGCTATCACATTTGGTTTTTTTCCGTGTTTTTCCGTGCTATAATTATTGTTATATTAAACTGAGCCGAACAGATACTACACTTGATCTTAGCCAAAAGGTCGAGAAAGGTATTTTTTCCGTGTTTTTCGTTTGCTTATGGTTTGACTTTCATATCTCAAGGGCATTGCCGCACGGCACACGAAACGAGAAGCGAAACGAGTGCATCTTCTCAAAGAAAATGATCAGGTTCATCTGTTTGCTATAAGTAGTACGGAGTGATTTTCGCCACCTTTCGTGGGCATATGCACTCAGATGCACTCGTTTGGTTTTCGTTTCGTCTGCCCTGTAGATAGGCCCCAAGGGCTGGTAAAGTAGTTTTGCGTTTTCCAGTCTGATACCCAAGATAGGACGCTGGACCTGCTTTCCAGCAGTCCGGGTTGATTTTTTATTTATTTATTTTTTAATATCCAGTCCGGGTTGAATTGTGAGGTCCCCGGCGCAGTGAGTTCTTTTTTTGGCATTTGAGCCTGCGCAACAGGACAGAGTTGCCTTCATTGGTGTACCTTGGGCGAGATCCCACTTAAGGTAGCACAGAGGGTTGGTTTTAGCGCCAGAATTTGGGCGTTTTTGAGGACAGATGCAGAAAACCGTCATTGATCTGCGTTTCTGCATCTCCACTTAGAACCCATCTAGATTCAGGTTCCGATCCACTTTTTGCTACTAGTGCGCCTTCGCCCCTTGTCTTCTCTGTGTTCCCATGCATATCTAACCTGCAGTCCTCCTCAGAGTCTTCTCAACTCTTGTTTCCAGATTATTGGGGTACTCACACTAGCTGTATCTCAGAGTCTTCTCAACTCTTGTTTCCAGATTATTGGGGTACTCACACTAGCTGTATCTCTTATGTATCTGACCGCATTTATGGCCTGTCGTGGAGGCATCTGACTGCAATTACGGCCAGATCTCGATGCATCTGACCGCAGTATGTAAAAAAATCCTAGTGTGAATGAATGCCCTCAGCTGGTACACCCATGAACTGGACTCACAGTAGCACCTTCCAAAATGCATCTGGCTGCAATTACGGCCAGATCTCGATGCATCTAACCTGAGTTCGAATTCCAATGGAGGCAGATGAGTGAAGATAACTATGAATTTACCTGGGGTCGGTCAAAGCCTCAAAGGTGATATCTTTTTTGCTTTTTTCTTCTCTCAAATTACCCTTTCTCTACCTGCTTACCACTGCTCCTTAGGCAAGCATAGCTACCTCGCAATGAAGGGATTGAAACGTTGCTCTTTGGCCCTTGTGGCTTTGGGGTGCATGGTCCGGACCGCCGGTGTGGACCTCCTTATCACAAAGATCGAGCGTTTTTTTTTTTTTTTTTTTTTAATAATAAATTTGGACCATTTCTCGATTTATGCGTGTCATCCTTGCGCAGGGGCCATGCTAATCTTCATTCTCTGTATTGTTCCAATTTTAACGGATGTCCCAAAAGATCGAGCGTTTTGCTAGTTGCTGGGCCTCCCTGTTCAAGTTCATCGTCCCTCACCCCCATAAAGTACAAACAGGCTACAGCAGTGTACACTATCCCACACACCACATCTCAAGGCTGTCGCTCTTTTGTGAAAGACACGAACAAAAAACGCATACAAATGATAGAATGGAAATGAACCAAAAAATTGAAACAGGAAAAAAAAAAAAAAAAAAAAAAAAACAGGCCCGGTCGGCCTCCAGCCTTCAACACACTGATGAAATTACAATCCAACAGCTCATGGCAGCTGCTGTTCTCCCCAAATGCGCAAAAGGGAGAATGTAATGTATCTTCCGCTAGAAAGCGGAAAGATAGACGTGCCATTGTGTGTGCTTGGTGTTCGAGGGAACACCGTCCAAGGTTTTGTGCTTGACTTCATTGGAAAAAAAAAAAAAAAAAAAAAAAAAGTGTCATCGAAGGTGCTCTCAAAGGGAGGCTGACGTATGGGTAATAACGAGTGTTTGCTTTCTTTTGTGTCCAACCGTGCCGTTGCTGCGTTGCAGGTGCTGCTCGATTGGGTGAAAACCGCTGATCTGTTCAGGATCAAGGGCCTAGGCCCACACTTCTCGGAGCTCCTGAAACAGACCGGCGTGAGCACTGTGCGCGAGCTGCGATACAGAGAGGGGAACGAGTTGCTGCAGAAAATGAAGGCCCTGAATGAGGAGAGGCGTGTCACAAGGAGGCAACCCACACTCGACCTGGTTAGGCACTGGATCGATCAATCCAGGAGACTTGTGGATGTTGTGGAATTTCCCTCCAACTTCTGCAAGTGATATCAACATTTGGAGCTGGAAATGCAAACCCAGTTAACTTATGAATAGGATCATGCATGGGAGTAGAGAGAGAGAGAGAGAGAGAGAGAGAGAGAGAGAGAGAGAGGATAATACGTCAGGAAATGCCGAAGGCTTACATAGATGGTCAAAGAAGGAAAGAATTGTGACGGATGAAAGAGTGGGGTAGAATTCTTGGAAACGTGAGCACAGGGGAGGGGGACAGGGCTGATGAGTTTTCGACTCTCTCCCGGATTAGGCAGGGTAGTTTTAATCAAATGAATGAATGGGTGCATAGCACCATCGCCTTTGACACCAGAATACAATTATTGAGGTACTAGGGAGTTGGGTGGTTACGGACCGAAGTAGGGGCGAGGAGTAGACGATAACCAGGGAGCAGCACAGAGTATGAAGAAGAGAGCGAGTCACGCCAACAAACGAGAGTGTGCTCACGGTGGTAGTGTTATTTTCGGCGAATCGGATGTCAAAATTCCCCTTTTTCTTCTTCCCCTCATCTCCATCCCTTCTCTCTCTCTCTCTCTCTCTCTCTCTCTCTCTCTCTCTCTCTCTCTTGGCCCACTTCGTCTTCGCGATTTGGTGTTTTTGCCAGTTTTGCAAGTAGTGGCACACTGGCACGGCAGTAGACTGCGTAGAGTGAGACTCAGTGAGTGTATATGTTTCACACCCCTCGATTCGTCTGAATTCGAGAGCGGATGGCTTGAGAACTGATGCGGGAACCAGAGTTTGCGCTCTAGTAGTACTCGGTTAGATTACTATTTGCTCGTTCGCGCTACCTGCGTGACGGTCATCGAAGCCGTTAGTACACGTTCTTTGTGGTACTGCTGCCGTCACGGAAGGAAACCTGAGTTAGCCTGAGGCAGTGATACTCCGGTCATCAAAGCCTTACGTACACGTGTTTGTGGTACGGCTGTCTTCACGGAAGGAAACCTGAGTTAGCCTGAGTTAGCCTGAGTACGGCTGTCTTCACGGAAGGAAACCTGAGTTAGCCTGAGTTAGCCTGAGTTAGCCTGAGTTAGTGATACTCTCGATCGGATTCGTGTGCATTCGATCCGACGACAGCCGGATGCGCGATACAAACCGATGAAAGAGCTTTCTGACATAGAGCGGGTCAGTTTGGCGGGAAGGAAGGGGGGGTGGGGGGGGGAAGACGACGGAGGTCCAGCTGGGGCGGGGCGGGAGGGGGGCCGGGGTAACCCACTGATGGGCGAGGAAACGACAATCGGCCCGATCGGGACTGCACAAGTTGGTGATGATGAGATTTTTAAAAGCTCTTTTGGTTTGTAAGTGTGTACCACCCAAAGGACAGAAAACCGGGAAAAAAAAAACCGGCTGTTTGCAACAGGACTCTTCGTACGGCGATTATGTGGGCATTGATTCTGCCGTGGGGTTAGCGCTGGAGGCCATTTCTGCCTGTGGCTTGGTGCGCCCTTCGACTGACTGAACACTTACACGACGGACTGGTCACTGCACTGGAGACTCAGTGGAGAGCGATCGCAACAGAGGAGGGGTGGGTTAGATTTTACGTCGAATGAGGTGTCGACTGAGGAGGAGTGAAGTGCGAGTGAGAAGAAGTGATACTCTTTTGCTTTTGCAGGCAATTTCATGTACCAGGCGCTTGGATAGCCCAGAGAGAGAGAGAGAGAGAGAGAGAGAGAGAGAGAGAGAGAGAGAGAGAGAGAGAGAGAGGGTGGGGGGGGGGGGGGGGGGGGGGGGGGGGGGGGGGGGGGGGGTTAGTTAAAACTTTTAGTGCGTAGGAGAGTGGCGGGGAGGGAGTGTTTGCGCGAAAGGAAAAAGTCGCGTGCAATTTTGATCACATGCTAAGTAAGCCTTGGGCACTGTGCCCCCTTTTTAAAAATTAAACAGAAAGAGAAACGCTTGGGAGAAGCAGAACATTGGTCCTGTCGTGGTAGCTCAGAGAGATGTCTGCTCGACTCTGCTGCTCTGCCCCGTCGCTTCGCTCGTCGAAAGGGTGTCGGATTCCATCGCTTTCCTCCAAAGCACAACCCATCGGAGCTGCTACGCAGCCATGAAGGGTTAAGTTTCCTTCCTCTCATTCGAGACGTGGAGCATAATCTCACACTAGGACTTTCTGGACTCTGCTCTGGACATGATTGCAGCCAGATGCATTCAGATCTCGACGTGATTGTGTTCGGAATCTCTGGCAACTTTAGGAAATGATAGTGTGCGAATGCCCTTAATAGTCAGATTCAAGATGATTCAGCCTTTGTAAACACACCACACAGACACACAAAGAAAACTCCAAAGTAACAATAACTTTAAATAAGACAAAATAAAATTATGAATGATTAAACACCATCGTGCATCTCATCACTCTTTTTTTTTTTTTTGAGACAACTGCTCCTCTGACCGCTGCACAGATCAGAATTCGGAGAAATAACAGTCCGCTGCAAGATTGGGCTAGGAGCAGTTAGAAACTGCAAGAAAGACAGCACACTGTGCGTTGGACGGCCTAACGATTAGATAATTAGCAAAAACGGGAGGTGCCCTGGGCTAGTGGTACCGCGTGGCCTGTCTGGCCTGGCCTGGGAGCGCAGGTACCGGTAGCAGGCCCTCCCGTTTTTGGTTTGTGGTGGCACTGGTGGGACTTGGTTCGTGTTGGAAAACGACCGCGCGTGGTCGAACAGGAAAACCCACGGACCGTGCCACGCGCCTTTGTGTGTGTGTGTGTGTGTGTGTGTGTGTGTCACTCTCTCTCTCTCTCTCTCACACACACACACACAAAAAAAAAAAAAAAAAAAAAAAAAAAAGTGTATATTTCCATGTGTCTAGTCGACGATTCATTTCGATTTTGCTCATCCTATGGATCTAAGTAGCCTCTCTCTGTCTCTCTGCGTGCATGGCCGGAATGCAGTGTATATTTCCATGTTCTAGGGGAAGATTCATTCCGATTTTGCTCATTCTATTGATGAAAGTAGCTACTCTCTATCTCTCTGCGTGCATGGCTGGAAATCAATCTCTCTCTCTC